GGTAATATCAGCAGTTTCAACCAGCTGATACACAATCATTTTTAATGAGTCAAGTTTAATTAGCGCTTTTGCTCGCAGAGAGGCCACGCTTTAAGTCTTTTTTGTCAAGAATTAGGCGTCATAACTCTTTATTATCATGAGTAATAAAATCAAATAGTAATATCAGCAGTTTCAACCAGCTGATACACAATCATTTTTAATGAGTCAAGTTTAATTAGCGCTTTTGCTCGCAGAGAGGCCACGCTTTAAGTCTTTTTTGTCAAGAATTAGGCGTCATAACTCTTTATTATCATGAGTAATAAAATCAAATAAACAAACAAATAAGTGATAAGTACATACAAAATTTATAGTAGTTCGCTAGCAATGTGAAAGCTACATTTACTTTCAGGCACCTCAAAATTTCAATATGTTAAAAAAGAAGATTACAAGAGAAAATCGCACACTTTCTTAGACCTCATGTTTTCTCTAATTCCCTACATAGGTAGCAACATAAATACTAGTGTAAAATTCTTAATATTCCGCCCCACGTGTTGTCTTTATATTGCAATAATTAAACTCCACACACACATTCTTAACAATCATTAAAATTAGTGGTGAAGTATTGTAGTACGTGGATCATCAGCCAAAATCAACCTTAAGGCTTAAGAAATTTGGCGTAGTATTTTTAATTACACATGTCTAATAGGAGCTGTTCGTAGTTTTTAGAAAATATTTTGTATACACGTAAAATGTTCATAGATATATACAAGTGCTTTTAATTACTAATTTTAGAAACACTAAAGTGGTGAAGTGGAAGGTTACAAACCAATTGAATTGACCATTAAGAGGGAAAGAAAGGTTAACACAGTCTATAATATAGGATTCCCACATTCTTAAGTTCCTTTCAATAAATTCCAACAGTGAAATATTGCCTCACACATATTATTATTATTATTATTATTATTGTTGTTGTTGTTGTTGTTGTTGTTATTATTATTATTATTATTATTATTATTTAATGATAGCTTCAAGAGTACTTCAAAAATGATATATGAGAGCTAGTAGCCTCTTATTTGAACAAGAAACAAAGAAAAAGAGTAATGATAAAAGAGGCGAGATTTCAATTGGAATTATGCACAAATTTAGCCAATACACGTTGAATTTATGTGATTTGTGTCTCCTTCACTTGGAACAAGACATATCACAGAAACTGTGGAAAAGTACAAAAAGAAAAGAACAAAATTAGTACTTTCTGCTGATAATCCAAACACCTTAATTTGTTGTCCTGATCTACCCTCTCTAGGAGCTAATTTCGTCTTTGCATTAACTAATGATCATCTCTTTTGCACTTCTAATTGCTCTAAACGTCATGAATTTAAATCTGTTTTTGATTTCTGATCCGTCCTTTGTCGATGTCACGCATGGCTGCTTAATTCCTCCACCAGTAGTTGAATTCTCTAATAGCTCTCAAGTTCTCTTCTTCTAATAATTTCAGACTTTTGTTGACCTGTAATTGATTTAACCAAATACATATCGATGTTAGCGTCATAGATGCCAAAAAAATTTAGGCCTAAAACAAAATTGATTTTCATTATTTTTGATGTTAAAGAGGAAGGGATAAAATAATGGACCTCTTATTTAGCAGCCAAAGAAGCTTCTTTGCAGGCTACATGGTACATGTCCATTGTTTCGTTCTGCTTTGATTTGATCCTCTTCATCTCCTCTTGCATAGATTCCTGAGAGTTGCAATAATATGCCCATAAATATTAACAATTCCATTACAACCATTTAGTAGGGGTGGTAATTAGACTGCTTATTTTTCTCGGCAAATTAAGTATCGAGTTTGAGAAAAGTACTTACTAGTTTGTGAGTCAAGAACAGTGATGTTCTAATGCAATGAAAATCATGAAGAGTTGGTCGGTGAGGGAAAACTCTGGCCAAGTGTGACTCCAAAGTCCGGAAGAAAGAAAGGAACATGCTATCGGGACTCGTCGTAGTAGTAGTAGTACTACTACTACATTCCGGACTTGGAAAAGTACGCGACTCGATCTCACCCTCTGTCTCTGACACTGAGATACTGCTTTCCTCTTCATACAACAATCCCTCTCTCGGCACGGATAGTCTGCAATCAATCAATTCAAGGCTACTTTCAACTTATTGAAAATATATATCCTTAATATAAAAGTTTATGCTTTTGCCTGGAAGACCGTACTTCTACGTAATATATAGAAATGAGAAATTTGAGTACTACGACATTTAATGAGCGTAATATTAACATTGTAAAGTTGTAACACCAAGAACTTTAGTTACCAACACTATTTTTGCATCTTCAAAGTCAGTATTACGTTGATTAAATGTCATTGTTGCGTGTGAATTAATAATCTTACATATTATGATGATGAGTAAATTGATCTTGATCAGGTGATGATGGGATAATTGGCACTGGATGACAAGCATTTCTCACACCATTGAGCTTTCCTAACTTGGAGATGACATAAACATTACAGAAATTGGGTATCCATTTAACCACAGTGCTTTTAATCCCAGAACCGTGCTTGAATAGCCTGCAGTAACAAATATTTTCATCTCATCTTCAATTATACATATAATTATGCGTTTCAGGTAATTCGTATTTCATATTTACTATATATAAAGTACTTACTAGCTAATTAATTAATAAAATTACCTAGATAAGCCATTCCTTGATGAGGCACCAAGAATCAAATTCTCAACTCGATGGCGTATGGCATAATCAACCAATGCTTGTGCCACGTCATCATCTTCGAGCACAACAATCTCGCATTGTATCTGATCACATCATCATCATCATCATCATAAGTGGTTGCAGACAACGCCGCAATTAAGATTTAGAAAATTATTTATTTATTTATTAAGTAAGTAAGAGGAATTTACTTGTCTGCGCGCACAAAAGCCTCGAAAGGGACGCAGCATTTCCATCTCATACTCATCCGGTTCCCTTTCTACCAAGCTGATGCTTCCTGAGAATAATATTTACATGATATTAATTAATAACATATAAATTGGTTTGTCATTATGCGATTGGATCGAATAATTAATGTTATAATTAAATGGAGAATTAAGAGAGATAAAGTGACAATTAGGAGGAATTACTGGGGATGAGATGGGAATAAGATATGTGTAATGGTGAAGTATGCCGGACATGGACAAGATTAATCAGGGTTTTGTTCTTGTCGTTGTAGAGAAGACGATCGGCAGCCCATTTAAGGGCGTGCTGGCTAGCCTTGGCATTGTCCACGGCGACCGCCAATACTATTCCCTGCTCCGACGACCACTTTCTTTCTCCGCAACCACCGTGAACTTTGGTCGCATAATTAGTGTCATTAGTCTCCGACATAGTTAGTCTAGCGGCAATTCCACTTGTTATAAGTATATATAAATTTTTATATATATGCCACGCAATATATGTACACTTTTTAGCGTAGGAAGGACGAAGAGCTATATAGAGGAAATTATGAAGTAGTTGACGGGAAGTTAAAACAAAAGGAAAGAAATTAGAGTATATGTGAGCTGTTTCTCTCACCCCTAATCTAATTTCTGTTTTTATGAAGTGATCATCATAGGACACGGCTAATTAGGGCCATTAAAGTAAAACCGAAAAAACTAGTTACTCAAATGAAAATCTGTTGAGAAAATTAAGGCCCCAGCTAGATTTAACCACATGAAGTGGTACGTTGGGATATTATATAGCTATTTGGTATGTGTTAGAGAGAGAGAGAGAGAGAGAGAGAGATAATATTGCCAACGAATATCAGTTTCCTCTACCACTACAACAATTATGCCCATTTGCGACGACATTTTTTGTGACGACATTTGTCGTCGCAAATAATACACTATTTGCGACGACATGTCGTCGCAAATACCCACCGTTAAATAAAATAACAATGTCGTCGCTAATAAGTTCAGTGTCGTCGCAAATAATATTGGCGAGCAAATTTCTAATGGCGCGGATTATTGGCACCAAGGTAATCCGTTTTTTTGCGACGACATTTGATGACTATTTGCGACGACATTAGGCGTCGCAACTAGTTTTAGCTTATTTGCAACGACATTGTTTTATCGTCGTCGCAAATAATCTTATTTGACGATAAAGTAGGCGCGGGAAAAAAACATTATTTGCGACGACTTTAAAAATATTTGCGGCGAGAAAATATCGTCGCAAATAGTTTAGTATTTGCGATGACATTTTATTAATTTGTGACGATATTATCGTCGCAAATATTATTATTAGCGACGACATTTTAAATTTATTTACGACGAATATGTCGTCGCAAATAACTCTGACCTAATATCCCCTTCTTCTTCATTTTCTCCCAAATCTCTCTCTCTCTCTCTCCTGTGAATCTCTCTCTCTCTCTCCTG